TAACATCAATATATATATTCTCCTTTACATCCTAACATCAGTATGCATATTCTCTATACTGGTCTCTACATTTTCTAAGGTGCTGACAAGGAGAATTTGTTTAAAAATCAAGAGCTGCTTTAGTTATTGATCATTTCGTTCATTCTCACAACCTTCTTGTTTGATTCTGGGGAAATAGTGCAAGGAGAAACTAGATGCTAATCACCCCTAGGAGTTAAAGGGTAATTAACATCATAAATTTAGTATGTTTTTTTTATTTGATGTGTGATTTGATGACTGGATGAATTTTTGCTTACAGTACAGGAGCTATCCAAACTAAGCACACATGGAGGAAATGACAGCATTGTAGCATTTGCACGCAACCATGGAGTCAATATTGTAATACATCAGCTCAATGAACCCAGATGGGTGATTTATGGAGGAGAATACAAGCAAAAAGGACAAGTTCGAGAGCTTCATGTCTCTTACCACAATGGCGAACACTATTCATCTGTGAGACATATAAGTGACAACAGTACTGAACCTGGCTGGATAAAACACAATGATAGAGTATCTGCAGCTTCAACGGTGAATATATTTTAGCCATGTGTTATTAGTAGTTATGCTGCAAGTCCAAAGGAAGATGTAGTTAATAAAAACCCAACAACCAACTATATTGTTATCAACAGACCTAAAAAGCAGTTAAAATGACCAAAACCATGAAAGTCTTGGACAGATTTTGTGGTCAGATTTTTCTAACATTAATGTGCTTGTCTTTATTGTTGTTGTTTATACTAAATTGATGACCCACCCTAAGTTGCTACAAAATAGATCCTGTGAATAACAAAGATCCTTACAAGGTTAGGAAGGCCATACCCCATACAGCAAATTTCTTTTTCTTCTTATTTCTTTTTGCCCACCCCATTGTTCCCCTTTTTGAAATGGCCTATAACATTTCAAAGCCAAGAGATAGGCTCATATACCCGTTTTGCTTTCCCAGTCTCTTCAAACTCCTTACAATGCTTTATAAAAGCTTTCCATCTCTGTTATACTCCTGTCATTGACCATGTCTAACATGACTGTGCACTTAGTAGGTATATTTAGGCAAACAGTAAAGTAGAAGTTTAATACACTATTATTTACTAATTATTTAAAAATATTCTCAGAGCCCAAGGAGACCAATAACTCGACCTGCAATTTACCTTAAATTGTTTTCATGCTCAGAAACGTAAAAATGGCATTGTGGCTATTTAGAATTTTAGCACTTCTGTAGTCACTTCACAGATTATATTAATCCTTATTTAATTAGAGGCCACACATCTGTATGATAACCTGTCTGAGCATTTAATAAGCTTAATTTATAACCTACAAATTGTAGCCCACAAAAACACAAGTTGTTGCCACCAAAAAAGAGGGTAAACCTAAAGGTAAAGGGAAAAGAAAAGATGAAACATCAGCGTGTGGCAGCGACAATATGGAGTCTCTACAAGGAAGCGAAGAGCTGACAGCTGAAGAACTGGTCATCACAGCCACAGGATGAAAGGTACAGACTTGGAATGAATACATTCTTATACATGAGCATACAATGTACCTAAAGGGGCTCTGAGAGTACAATTATTTTGACTGCTTCCCCTGCTTTATCAGCAAACAGAATATGTTACAAAGCAGCGTGTGGATGTGAGTTTTGTTATCTTTGAGTGTTAGTTAATTGTATTTTCAAAGGGACATGAAATATTCTGTTTACTATACATGTATGTTAATATTGAAAATTATTATGTACACATAACAATCAAAAAATTTTAATATAGCACCAAATGTAGGGATCACCTGCATGTGAACTCAGCTCTTCAACTTTCAATTAGAAAGAAATCAAGTTTTCTTTAAAAAAAATTTTCCCAATCAACAAAACTCAATTTCTGCCTTACTGATGGTTGCAAATTAAAAAAGAAAACCCTTTGTGGAGATCTCCGTTCCATTGCTTATGGCTTGCTTGTGAAAATATTTTTCAAGTCTTTAAACAATATATTTAATTTTGAATTGTATAATCATGATGACTTAATTGGTTCCTTAGATATTGTGTACTCTTGTATCAAGTTCCATGTATTTACTATTATATTTATCATTTGTTTACTTGATATTTATTTTACGTATTTTGGTGGAGCAATGTGTATTTTGAAACAAAGGAAACTAATTAGTAAGGGTTTAGTTACCTTTTGCTGTTTAGCTTGTGTACCCTACGTGTAGCCGTACCATCACCCCTAAGAGAAACAGAAGGGAGGGAGTGTCTACACAAACCTGACAAAGATCGTGTTCCCTCCCTTCTGATTCTCCATGGAGGAAGGGTGTGGCTACACAGGCTATTTCACTTGTTGCCTTTGTTGACTGTTAAATTTTGTTTTAAAGGACTTGGCCATTATAGCTCAAACCCTGGAGGAGAATGCATATGATGTTGATGCTTCTATTCATTACATTCTTCAGTTGATATGTATTACTGAGGAGACAGGTGACACAAGTTTTTGATTGTTACTAGTTTTACTTTTATTTACAAAAGATAACATCCAAGATATTTAATTTTAATTATTAATTGACTGGTTGTGTTCCTTGCTGTGTTTTTTTTTTTTTTTTTAGCATGCTCATAAATGCATAATTATTTATAAAATTTTTATGAACAATTGTCAAGGTCCCTCTCACTCCAAGATCTCATTAGAAATCCTCCCTTCTGTCTGCCATGTAGTTCTTATGATGTTAACTCAGAGAATTTTGTACTGGATTAACTACTAGTCTCCCAATTTGTTTTTTTTTCTTATTCCCATCACTTGTCTGCTTGATATGTTATTGACATTGTAATGAGAAATTCTGTCTTGGTCTCTCATGGGGGTAAAAGGGTTATAATCCTTTTTTTTTTTTTTTTACACCATTTCTGAGATGCCCAATGCATCTGCATGAAAGAGGAGGGGAGCTGCTGGTTTGGAAGTAAAGCCTCCCATAAAAAGTATATTTATATTTTTTCATTGCAAGGAAAACTCACTTTTGCAAGAAAGGTTTTGCCTTTGGCTTCATTTTTTAAGTAAGGGATTTTGGAACTTCAATTCAAATGGCCTATCAATATCACCTGTCACAATGCTCAAGGCAGACTGCCAGGGCAAATGTACCAAGGGCTAGCGAATGTGCTTAAGGCTAACGCTTGATATGTCAGCTTTAGAAACTTTTAAAGGCAGCCAATTTCTGTTTTTTAACTTGGTTGATAATTGTTATTCAAAGTTGACTATAATTGACCATGTACTCTGAAATTAAAATTTTTTTTTCAGGATATTTATCTCAAGAGAGTTTTGCTGCAAGCAGTGAATCAGTGAATAATCATAAACATGGAATGAAATGTACTTTGGCTGTGGAAGCAGAAACACATACAACAAAAAATGATCACAGAAATGAAAATATACAGGAAAATGACAAAAACGATCTTGGAGGTGAAACCCACAATTATTCCTCCAAGGATGACACAAAATTTTCAGAAAAAAGAACTACCAATGAGACAGAAGCTTTTTCAAATTCATCAAGTGGCACCAAGAGCAAAACTGTACAAGACTCTAGTGAATCCCTCTCTCAAAGAGAACAGAAATCAACTAAGACATATGAACACCATGGTGCAAGGCCCAAAGTTGTTGAGAAATCAAAGAACCAGCGAGGATCAACTAATACACATTTAAGTAACAAGAAAAGAAAGGAACTGGCTAAAAAGGAGAAAAAGAAAAGGAGAGAAGAAAAAAGGAAAGATGAGTCAAACTCACATCTTGAGTCTTCAGTTTCTCAGCTAGAAAATTCCAGTACAGGGATAGTGGCTGACTTAGGACTTCTTGCAATATAAAAAGTGACCATCATAGTTATTTGCAAAATACAAAATAAATATTTGTTTAAAAAATTGAACTGGTTGCTAAATGCAATTTTGACAGTCAAGGAACAAAATTGAAATTGGAAATTCCATAGAAATTGCATGTGCTCTTGGATGGGGAAAACAAAGGGAATGGAAAAAACTGGATAGGTGATCAAGGAAGCAAAGTTAATGTAATAATTGTCTAAATTTGTCTTAAATCCCAAGTATGTTTTGCCCTATCTTTAAAAAAGCATCACATTTTTTTTGTTTGTGTAATGGTTACCAGTAAACATAATTCATACATATACAGAGCATGTTCTGGCAACATGACTACAAACCTCACATTCTGTGAGTAGCTGATAGCAATATTTGTCAACAGAAAAAGGGATGGTCTTTTTTATTTAAAAACATTATTTTGCAATATAAATTATTAACAAACAAAACATATTAAATTATTCAATTTCTGCAAAGCACAATACTTGCATATAATTTCTTACCCGCAAATTTTGGCTGCATGAAACATGTTTGTAAAAGTAAAGAAAATATATCATCTTGTGAAAAAGAGGCAATTTAACCTTCTAAGAAAATTGTGGCTGCCAAAAAAGTTACAAAATTATTATTTTGTAAGTCTCAAAATAACAATTATTGAGATGACAAGCTACCTGAATAATAGAGAACTTTTTCAGTTGAGTGCAAAAAGTTACAATGGAATCCAGATTTCTCGAACCCTAGGTTTCTCAAACCTCTCGATATCTCAAACCAAACCTTGTTTCCCTTGGATTTGCTTCACTCCCAATTTCTCAAACTCCCGATTTCTCGAACCAATCTGTGTTTCCCCCTGGAGGTTCAAGAAATCGGGATTCCACTGTATGCATGTCAACATTGTTTTACTGCCCTCTGTGCTTGGTCACTTCTGTGAAGCCGTTTGCAAGGATATGTTGTGTGTTTTCTTTCTAATATGTTCCTAGTTGTCATTAGTTTGGTTGATGTGTGATTGTTAATTATAAGGTCTGACTAGTAGCTGAGAGTAATCAGACAGTTTGGTCCATCCAAAATCACTAGTTAATGCTACCTTTTTTTCTTTGTTTTTTTTTTTTTTTCATAAATCAGAGTTTTCTTCATAAATAGTATTTTATTTACAAATTTACCCAAAAAGTGGAATTAACTGACCCAGTCAGATAGTTTTGATTAAGAAAGGGTATATTAATGAAGCAGTTTCCTAACTGTCTTATCCATTCTGAGTAAAGTTATACCCCTTTAGGATAGTATACCCCTCTAGAACCTCAAGTTTTAAACGAGCCCCCACTCCAATAAGTCCTCTTTCTTGCCCCCTCTCCAAAAAGCATCCCCGCACTAAGATGCTCCCCCTTAATAATAAGTTCCCCTTCTCTTAAAAGGTTTCTCTCTCTAACAAGCTCCCTCTCTGTAATTATCTCCCCTCTTTTGTAGGTACCCCTCTCTGGCGATAAGACCCTCTGTCTTACAAGCTCCCCTCTCTCCTATAGACTCCCCCTCTCTAGTTATCTCCCCTTTGTAGTAAGTGCCCTCTCTAATAAGCCCTTTTCTCTCGTATCCCCTCTTATCTAATAAGCTCCTCTCTCTTTGTCTTGTTTGAATGTGTAACTGTCTAGGTTAGATATTAGTGACGTTTCTGTCAGATCGTATTTCAGAACCTCGTGCGTCTTTACTAGTAGTCTGTGTGTACCGTCTAAGTTTGCGTTCTTGAAGTTTATTGCGTTCGTTCTGCTTGTTTGCCACTTGGGGCAATCCCTCATTCCTCATGTGGGTTAAAAACTCCACTGATTTTGGCCTTGAGGGTTTTAAAGTAAATCTTTAAGGCACCTGTGACAAAAGCAATTCAAAAATTATATCACAAATCTTGATCATTGTCCAGAATAAAATAAAAATACCTCTGAAAAATAGTATTACTAAAAATGTCTGAATGTTGCACTCATTTTCCTTGTTTGATATTGGATAAATGGACCCAACAAAAGAATCTTCAAAAGTGACCAAAGTACATACAAATTAATGCAAACACCTTAATTTTCACGTTCTTAGTCAATCATATCATCAATGGATAAACTTAGCAGAATAGCTGTGTGACCAGGCTCACAATTGTGCATGACATTGCAATATTTTTGTTATAATTTTAGAATTACATCTTCAAAAACTATTTCCTATGATAATCAAATTACCATACACACAGGATTTGCATCATAAATTTCCTTTAAGTCGCACCATCACACCTAACTATTTCCTATGATAACCAAATCATCCTAAACACAGGATTTGCAGCTAAATTTCCTTTAGAATGATCACACCTTACTTCCAAAATTTTAGAGGATTTCCTGCTATTGTTCGATTCCTTATAAAAGAAGTACAGTTAGTTAGTTTAACTCAGTAGTTCAGAGTGTCAAGACCAGCACTTACAAGCTCAGAACCTTTGGTCACAAAAAAAGTAACTCCAGTACATGTAACCTCAAGTTAGTGACCTATTTTACTGAGGATTTGCTTGCAATCACCCTTTCTTTTTATCAGTATTATTTCTTTTGTACTTTCCTGTATAAATAAATTTTATTGTGGCTATAAGTCTGTCTCGTTGTTCAAATAACAACATCACAACCTGCCTCGGTCACAATAAGAAGTCTTTATGTTAGACAAGACCAATAACAAGCCAGCACCAAAGTTTCATACTCCCAGTAATTGCATGGTGAATTTAATTTACTAACTGCAATATCTCATTGTTCCTGTGCAGAAAATCTGATCAACAAGGTGGCAAAGAAAGAAGCTACCTGTTACAAGTAATCAACAGGTTACTGTAAATTTTCCAGAATAATACACCACTTTCATAAATGGCTGCCAGATTGATATTCTTTTGTTTAAATTCAAATTAGCCTCACTAGCATCACTTGAGATAATGCATTCTTTTGAATTTTGGACTGGAGAACGAGGCCAGAAAGGCTAATTTAGATTTAAACAAAAGAATATCAATCTGGCAGCCATTTATGAAAGTGGTCAATTGCAAACTACTATTATACAAATGCCAAGCTGCTTATGTACTTGAACAATTTCATTGTGTACATCTCTGCCATCCCCCTGTCTCGCGATAATGAATTCCAAGAACTCATCAAATTCAATTGATCTGTAAGTGTAAAAAAGAAAAAAAAGTAAAGCAACATTAGTGTCCTGAGACCATATCCATTTTTTGTTGCATGATTCATTTAATTGCGTGTCAGATAAATAGAGGTGACTGATTTGATGACATGATTTGGTGACATAGTTAATTACATTTATCACAATTCAACAATTACTGCAATGACAATTTCATGTCATCTCAAACTCAGTTTCTAATAGATTTAAGGTGTACCCAACCTGAATTAATGTGGTTGTATGATTGAAGATGTCTTAAAACAGCTGTGAAATGTCACATTCCCTACCCCTCCCCTTGTTTTTTTGTTTTATTTTCTTAAGCATGCCCTCTTTCCATCCCCTCACACTGTTCTTATTCCACTCATGTTTCTCCTGCTTGGCTAAAAAGGAGACAGAAAGAACTGCTATCAGGGTTGTCACAGGCTGGTGAAATTCGCTAGATGAGAAAGCAGCGACTGCCAGCTGGATTTTGGTCAGCCATCACTTGATAAAGCACATTTGTTCACCATCTTTGAGCCTTCTCTCTTGAAATTTCAGTTGGTGGGGTAATTTCTTAGTTACAACCTTGGCTATGCAGGCCAACCCACAGAGAGGAAAACTTACCCAGATTTGTCAACATCCAAGTCAGCTGTTAAACATAAAAAAAATGGTGTAACAGTTATAAGGGGTTAAGCAAGTAATTTAAACTAAGAGTATGACTTGTAGTAGAGATCTTTCTGGAAGGTACAATTTATTGCTTCAGCACCTCACACTCGGGCTATAAATGTGAGTGGAAAAACTAGTTCTGTAACTCACAGTCCTAGGTATTTAGTCGCAGCTTAGGGCCTTTCAGATGATCAACAGTTTAATCACTACATAGCAGACTTGCTTACCTATCATTTCCTCTAAAGACTCTTTAGAAATCTTAAACCCTAACGCTTTCATAGCCTTCCTAAGTTCTCGAGCATCAATTGACCTAAGATAAAAATGTTACAAAATACTATTTACCATAACAAAATTATTACAATTATTTATAAATTAGATGATCCAAAATTTATCTCTTAAGTATCAGCTGCTGAAACTTATTACTGGTCTAAAGCTTTTTTTTCCTAACCTAAATTAGTTGCCTGGTAAATTCTACCCAATTTTAGATGAAAACTTTCTGGGTTTCAACAAATTTTAGAGACAGGAGGGTACTCTTAAAATGTGAAAAGGAAAGGGAAAAGTGAGTAAGGTCAAATTGTTATCACCGAAAAAAAAAAAAAAAAAAAAAACAGACCACCATGATTAAACAATATTTTGCACCAAAACTAAAGTTCAATGGTCCATGGGAACTGGCAAAATAGTCATCAGAATTATGCATGACCACTCAGGCATGTTTCACTCTGGAACAGATTTGACTTGGACTTGGTAGGTGGTTTGCAACCAATCTCTAGAGACACAGGTAACAATGGTGAAAGGAACAAATGCTGGTGGACTAGCCAATGAGATATCTATTGTTTACGTCCACCAACATGGCAGCAATGACGTAACGTGCAAACCACCTATAGTCTTGTGGTTCAACCAAAAAAATTATGTGAAAGGCCTCTACATAAGGACAAGATACTAACCCACTTTTGTCTGTATCAAACACATCAAAGACCAACTTCAGATCTCTGATCTCTTGTGGTGTTAGTTGCTCATATGCTCTTGTTGTCAATCTTCCCTTCATAAATCTCCTTTTGTTCTGCAGTTCAGCTTCAAACAAAGCTTGGGAGAGCTTATCAAAATAGTAAAAAGAAGGGTGTCATCACGAAATGCTTACGGATTTGTAAGCATCTGCAAGTACTATGGTAGCATTAGTGGATCATAAGCCACATGTAACTTGAAAACTTCTATCAATCGATCGATTCTCAGTTGAAGATTAAAAAAAATTGACTTTTCCTGGAAGATTAAGACTGAAAGAACTAGTTGGTAATAAGTTAAAACTTACATGGAACCTAAAATAAACTGAAATAATCGAACACTTAAAAACTGACGTTTACAAGATTTTCTACAAGGGGGTAAAAAAAATGCGATCCACAGTTTCCTTATTGGCAACGTTTGTAAAAATGCAAATTTGTAGTTTTCAAAGTTTCAAAAAGGCTAACATCTTCAGAAGAGCGTTAACATTGGCTAATTGCTCAAATTTGAGTCTTAAGGCTTACCCTTTCTCTTGAGGACGTACCATCACGACTGCTACCCGCTACACTGAGTGTCTCAGAAGCCATTTGTCGCACCATAGTTTTGTTCGGGATAGTGCCCAGCTCAAGCGATCTTTCGCCGTCTGCAACAGACTTGCTTGATTTCTTCTTTCCTTTCTTTTTCCCCACTTTTTTGGGCATGATGAATGGAATAACCTAGATGAATTCCGTGTACGTATTTCTATTGAGATCGATGCCTACTACAAATGAGGCATCGAGCCGCAGATATAAGACGGGAGTGTAACTCGTCCACCATATTGTTTACTTCGTCGTCATGATCCTTCCTCGACCCAGTTCTCTGCCACTCGTGCGTCCAGGCTCTCTCCTTTTTGTTTCAAGCGATTTACAAGCTTCAGGAGCGCGGTAGTTTCGCAGCGCAAGAATCGGCAGGCAGAGTAACAAGAGGAAAAAAAACCTAAAGAAGTATTGCCCGAGTTATCGTATCAGTGGTTACACTATTGTGCTCCCCTGAAATAGAGAGAAAGCTTGATCGTAGATTATCGCTTTGGCTTAGCGTTCAACCTGCGTGGGCGTACTGTCTATTTTTTCACTGATTTGGGAAGGAAGAGTGGTACCTTTTGCATTTTTCTTGTCAACACACAAAGAAATCACCTCCCCTGTCGATCTCGTTACAGTGGGAATGCTATTCAGTGAACCCGTGGAGGATTTGTATAGCTAGCCAAAATATGGCGCAAAATCTTAAAACGTTGACTTTACGTTTTCTCTTTCTTTTCGCTCTTCATTCACTACGTGACACCGATCAGATCACCAGTTACATCCCACGCAAACCAGCAGAGTCATCATCCACGACTGCTCTCTTTAGACACCCAAACCGGTTTGGTGATCGAACAAGGAAAAGTTCGTTTACAGACGTCTTTTGACTAATTTGGCTGAAAATCGAAAAGCGTTATGGGGCCCTTTTTTTTTCTTTTCTTTTCTCAGTTCCACTACCGTCGCAAAGCCAAGGGCCCTTTCGTACAAAGAAGGACTCGCGTTAAAAAGTCCATGATTAACAAGAAAGCAGACTAATTCGTGACCTTTTTTCGAGGAATGCGTGGGAAAATATTTCTAATATTTGTCGAGCCTCTTGAATGTTTCAAACGTGGGAGGGTACCAGTTCACAGTGAAGTGGTTATTCTACCCTTTACCTTTTTCAACATCATGCAAAATTAACATGCAAGAATATTTAGAAAAGATGGTTGTAATCTGTTATCATTAAGCTTTTAGAAAATGTATAGGTTTTAAATCAGTAAAACCTTACTTTAAAGAGTGCAGGTAAAAAGCACTTGTTAATAAGAGTGTTGATATGAATCCTCTCACCTTGATACCATAGGGTGCTTAGATGGTAGAGCTGACTGGATTCTTTTCATACATAATTTAGATTTCTGCTCGGGTGCTTTCCTTTGGCGGCTCTCTATAGAGAGGTACGATTTCGGGAGAAAATGGCTAAGTCGTTATTTAGTTCTTATCTGCTACAGATTTACATATAAAAGAAGTAGTTCCTTTATTACGAATAAAAATTAAAAACTAGGTCGTCGAGTGTAGCTAACAAGTACAATAAATAGTTTGAATTATTCATAATATAGTTGGTATAAGTAGCCTACACTGAGATGCTCAACCAGTAATTTAGCGCAATCACAGTCAAAAAGTTGAGAAGAAACTCAGAATTTACCTCCTGGTCACGTAAGTGCACTAAAATGTTATTTCCTTTTTGTTTTACACTTTTTGAAACAGATCGTTCAATAGTATTTTGCAGTCCGGTCTGAAAAAAGACCAGTTGTACTTAAGATTAGTTCGTACAATCTAGGTAGTTTTAGGATTTGACTGTTTTTGTCATTTCCTCAACCGACAAGGCCGCTTTCATGGTCTTCCAGGGTTAGGCTATAAAAAGAATATAGCCTGACAACCATAAACTTCGAATGTAGTTCTTGTGTACTTATCCATACCCCGGGACTAAGAAATGTACCTCGACACGTTCAAACTGCTACCACGTGTTGTAAAGGATACGGCAGACATTCGCAGGTGTCTTTCGCAAAAAAAATTTTCAACGCACTATTTGAAGCATAAACACCATAAACTATATATGTCTTTTGAATGGAAAGGTTATGAAATACAATATTCGGTAAAAATTGTTTCGTTTTAGCTTGATCTAATTGTAAACCGAATGGGGCGCGACAATCCGAAATGGACGATGTTTCTTTAAGCGAATTAATCGCATATCAATCCTGATTCAAATCTGAAATCTTAGTGAAATCTAGTGTCTAAACTGAAAGCTTTTGGAATTGATAACCCTTTACTCTCTTGGTTCCACTCATACCTAACTGAAAGGCATCAGAGAGGGATTTTAAATGGAACTTCAAGTAAATGGACTGCTGTTGGATCTGGTGTCCCTCAAGGGTCTTCATTAGGACCTATTCTATTTTTATTGTATGTTAATGACATGCCTACTGCGTTTCTGGCTATGTTTGCTGATGATTCTAAATGTTATAAGATCATAAATAATATAAATGATTGTAACGATTTGGAAGAGGACTTGCAGTCGCTCTATGATTGGTCGTTAGCAAATGAATAATATTTTCAGCCTAAAAAGTGCAGTAATCTACGCATATCTAGAAAGCGCATAAGCCCCCATCGCAGCTATAATTTAAATGGTATAGATTTGGAGGTTGTCTCAACTGAAAAAGATTTGGGGATTATAATTGCGAAGGACACCTCCTGGAAAGAACACTTACTTATGATAGTTGCTATAGCAAATAGGCTTCTAGGTTTTCTTAAACGAAATTGTGCAGGATTGGTTGGTGAGGGCCCACTTTTGCGACTTTATACTGCTCCTTAGTGCGTTCCCAATTTTGTTATTGTTCTCAGCTATGGGCACCTCAGTCTAGTATGAGTAATTTACTCCAAGTAGAAAGGGTACAGAGAAGAGCCACACATTTTATTGTTAGAAATAGTACCCTATCCTATAAGGATCGTCTTGTTAGGCTTAAACTAATACCACTTAACTATTGGTTGGAGTATTTAGATCTCATATTTTTCTTTAAATGTCTTCATGAACATATAGATCTAACCCGACTGATTGATAATTATTTTTCACCTGCTACCAGTCAGACTCGCCTAGATGCTCAGCTTTTACCTTTAAACTAAATATGAGCAAAAACTCTACTTTTCGAGACTTTTATTTAATTAGAATTATCCCCTTGTGGAACAATATTCCAGTTGATGCTAGGCAGTCAGAGTCCCTTGACTCTTTTAAGCGCAAGCTTAAGGACTTTTACTTTAACAGACTCTTAAATGTCTTTGATGGCGAAAATTATCGCACTTTTAAAATAATGTGTCCTAAATGTCGTCGGATAAATACCCACACGGTTTGTAGCTGTTAGTTTCTAGTTATTGTCTTCTTTTTGTGTAAGTGTATTAGATTTAGGGGATAGAGGGTATAGAGTGGATAGAGGGGATAGGATGCTTAGTTTTTGAGGGTTGGGTTGGTATTTAAACCTAGTAGGGGACTCATGTCCTATTTATATACCAGTACTTTGTACAAATCCTTAAATAAATAAATAAATAAATATAGAAATAGATATAAATAATAATAAATCTAAAACCTCTGTACGATTTCAGTCTTGAGGGGTTGGTCTTCAAAACCGCGTGGGAATTTTTCGATATTCTTATTGGTTACTTTGCTATTAGTTTATCAAGATTGCTGATCAAAATTTTACCGATACGCATTACGTCGGAGGCCATTGCGGAAGCTCCATTTTGAAAAACGGGATCCCTCTAGGTTGGTATCTTGAGAGTCTTCGTACCAAATTTCAAGGCAATCCGTCAAGTTCACATACCATAATTTATTCGTTCAAAGAAGGCACATTCGCGTAAAGACGAAGTAGGTTTTTTTTTATTGCTTCCAAAGTTTTCCCAACAATTCGCGCCTTTGGGTGACCACATGTCAAATCGCGTCAACACCCTGAAAAATTCGTAAAGCCGACCGCCAATAGGAACACAGAAGCGTCCTGCAGAGTCTCAGAAGACTCTGAGCAGAGACATATTTTGCGGGTAACTATCCAATAGCCCTCGAAGGTCTACCTTACCTTCGATGGCCAATTTTTTTTTTTTATATCAGCTAGACTCAAATAAAACGTCAAGGGCTATATGTTCTCGATTTTGGCCTCCAGGGTCTTATAGAGAAAGTTCATAATTGAAAAAAAAAAGTGTATAAACTAAATCTGTTTTAACAAGATCTTTTTCAATACAATCTGCAAAAAGTCAAAGTCATCATATTCAATAATGTCATCCGATGTTTGTTGATAACTTATTCCCTTTCATAGAATAGGTAGGGAAGTGTTTTGTCAGCCTGTGTTATCAGTTTATTATCTCTTGTTACAGCTGACGAGATAAGCGAAGAAAAATTACACGAAGAAAGGCAGAGATCGCAAGGATTTCATACTGTCTTAGCTGATTTGAAAACATTTTGAAATGCTAAAGTAGGTTACGGCAAAAAATGATTCAGATACGCTACATCAGCATTTCTAATTATCCAAGTAGTTGTTTTTTTGGTGTAATTTGGTTTTATCAACAAAGTTGATAATGTAAATTTTAAGAGCTGATGCTTCGCAACCTCGTTCCCAGGGTCTTTCATCTTCCCGCCCCCTGGAGCGAGCTCGCTCCAGGAGGCGGGAAGATGAGAGACCCTGGGAATGAGGTTGGACGTTTAGAGCGTTCGCCCTTTATCAGAGCTAATCGAAATGTCAGCTCTTAAACTCTTTACGTTAATCAATTTATGGTATAAACTTTGTTGCTAAAACCAAATTACTTTGTTATCCCCACCGACGCAGCATGACAGTTTCTTTAGAAACTTACCCCTTTATTCATTTGTTTTAAATGTAACTTGCTTGCATGCGGTAATTTGTGTTTTGAAGCAAAGCGTCAGGTTGTTTTTGTAAAATAATGTGATATACATCATCATCATCATCATCATCATCATCATCAATCCTTTTCATGCCTCGTGGCACATAGGGCCTTCACAGAGCTTTTCCACTACTCTCGACTGGTTGCTGCTGTCCGCACCTCCTCTCACGACCTCCAACCTGCCTCTTGCCTTTCTTTCTCTACTGTACATCTCCAAGTGGTTTTTGGTCTTCCCCTTCTCCTTTTACCTTCTGGCGCCCAGCTCATAGCAGCATTGCAATCATTATTACGATCTTTCCTAAGAATATGACCAATCATTTTCCATCTACGAGACATCACTTCCGCACTCAGTGGCTTCATGCCT